TAACGATTTTTTTTTTTTTTTTTTTTTTGCAGCACATGGATAAAATTCTCGAAAATATAAAGTTATAGCCCTTATACACAAAACTTGCACACAGACGCACATTTAATACATCACCACGCGTTGAGGCGCACAGTCACAAGAGGACGACACCTCCCTTACCTGCGGGGAGATGACTAGTGTCTGGAGGTTGACGAAGGCTCCCGGTGAAGCAGGCAGTGGCTGTGCTTGGTTATGTTGACCAGGATGAGCGTCTGAAGTGTTTCGCAGCATTCGACGCAGACCTGATGGCAAAGGGGAGGTTATCAAAACGCGCTCCAGGAGAAGCGCCACTTTGTTAAGATCAAGTGCTTTAATGTGAGGAAATCTATACTTCGGTCTCTATTTTTGCACTGACTGTCTGTCTCTGTCTCTGTCTGTCTCTGTCTCTGTCTCTGTCTCTGTCTGTCTCTCTCTCTCTCTCTCTCTCTCTCTCTCTTCCCTATCCCTATCCTATCTCTATTCTATCTCTATCTCTATCTCTCCTTTCCTTTCCCTCCTCTCCCTCCCCTCCTTCCTTCACTCCCTTCTCCTCCCCTCCCTCCCTCCCTCCTTCCCTCCCTTTCTCTCTCTTTTTCTCTTCTATCTCTATTTTCCTTTCTTCCCTTCCTTCCCTCCTCTCCTCCCCTCCCTCCCCCTCCCTCTCCCTCCCCCTTCCTCCCTCCCTCCCCCTCCCCCTCCCCTCCCCTCCCCCTCCCTCCTCCTCTCCTCTCTCTCTCTCCCCTCCCTCTCCCTCTCCCTCCTTCTCCCTCCCCTCTCCCTCCCTCCCTTCCCTCTCCCTCCCTCTCCCCTCCCTCTCCTCTCCTCCTTCCCTCCCTCCCTCCCTCCCTCCCTCCTCCTCACATCGCCAGCAGCTGCAGTCCGTCGGCGCCCTCCAGAAGCAGGTCCCTGAGCTCCAACGTCTTCAGTTTGGTCAAGATCCCGAGGAGGCGCTTGAACATCTGCAGGATCTCTCCTCCGGTCCGAAGACGACCTCCTCCGACCGCTGGGCGAGGTGGCAGGAGAAGTGGAATCTGGGGGGGAGGGGGGAGAAGGGGGGAGGGACAGATAGCGGGGATAAGGATTCGTGATAATGGTGGTGATGGTGGTGATGATGAGGATGATAGTGGTGATGGTGGTGGTGATGAGGATGATGGTGGTGATGATGGTGATGATGGTGGTGGTGCGGTGGTGGTGTGGTGGTGGCGGTGGTGGTGTGGTGGTGATGAGGATGGTGATGGTGATAGTGATGATAATAATTGTAATGATGATGTTGATGATGATAACAATGATAATAACAATAATGATAATAATAATATAAACATGATAATAATAATAACACAATAATAATGATGATAATGATATCGATAATAATGATATTGATGATGACAGAAGTAGTACTAATGGTAATGATGATAACAATAATAATAAGATCAATGACAGTAATAGTAGCAGTAGTAGTAGTAAAAAAATAACTAATAAAAACAACAACAGTAATAATAATCAAAATTATAATGATAATAAAATAAAAATAGATAATAATAATAATAATAACAATAATAATAATAATAACAATAATAATAATAATAGCAATAATAATAAAATTAACAACAACAAAACAACAATAATAATATTATTATTAATATCAATAATAATAATAACAAATAATAATAATAATAATAAAAAAACAATAATAACAACAACAATAGTAATAATAAATAAAATAAGAATAATAGTTACGAGAACAACATTAATAGTAATAATAATAATAACAATAACAACAGCAATAATACTAATAACAATAACAATTGATTATAGAAACAATGATAACACCAATCTCAATTTATTGTGGTTATTTACTGCGATTACTTATGGTTTATGAATAAATAACAATACATATCTCGCCAACCGTAAGTATAGAGTAATAAACAATAAATAATAAATAAACAGCAGCTTATTTGAAGAAAAAAAATCAATATAAAAATAACTAGCGTACTGCGGTTGGATGAAAATAAGTAGGCCTACATTTTATCTTGCTCACATCAGGCAATCCAGGATCTATGATAAATCTCAGGCTTACCCATAAAAACACTATAAAGATGATTATATAAAACTACTGCCATAAGAAACTAGATAAAACGAAGCCCTTATCTTGCCTCTGACAGGGTTTAATGATTTACTTAATTGTTTAATTTATTATTAATTTACTTAATAGTTTAATGATTAATTAAAATGATTTACGGTGTCCTGTGTCCCTACCGGAAAGTATGAACGTTGTCCAGCGTGCCAGGGACTTTGTGGTTCATGAAGCAGGACATGTTGCAGAACTCGTAGAGGCTGAAGAAATTGGTCATCGGCTTGATTATCAGCGTCTTGATAAACTTGCCCATGTTGGACAGGAATATGTGACCTTGTAGTGGTCGAGTCGTTTCTGGAAGCAAAAGGAGATGGGTATAACTGAAGTAATATGTATGTTCACACTCTCTCTCACACACACACACACACACACCACACACACACACACACACACACACACACACACACACACACACACACACACACACACACACACACACCACACACACACATTTTCTATAGCTATCACATATATTCGTATGTACCTATCTGTCTGTGTATACATGTATCTACTTAGTAGTCTGTTCATCTTTAATCCCCCATAGATTTATACACTGAGATTACGAACATTACCCCAAACAAAATCTAGAGCAGTTTCTCAGTGACAGATCACCATTGGCCACGCCCCCATTCGTCTGGAATGCTTGTTTGTCGCATACTATTTGTGAGAAATTGATTTATATGTTTTTTGTGATAAAAATTAGTTTCTCCTTCTGTATTATTAGTTATCAATTTACTTATTCATGCATTGAACAATTACTATTATAAAGGGTCTCATTTTCGCCCAGAAACGGCTTCATCGCCCCGATGGGTTTAAAAAACTACAACACTGATGTCCAGATGACGCTAGAGTAAAATCCTGCAAGACAAAAGATTTCTCCTGCTTCTTTGTTGAATCAATTTATCTGCAGATTTCTTCGATTTGGCACCAACACCGTGTTCTGCCCACTTTGTGTCCGGTACGCTAGATTTTGCATCTATTTGTTCTCAGCCATCATGCTCGCGCAGGAACGCTTCCTCCAGTCACAAGATCCCCCACTAAGGGAGGAAGGGCTCTAAGCTTCGTTCACCGATACCTGCACTCCCCTGACACTTCGCTATATTCGTCTTATAATTCCGTTGAACAGGGCTAGAGAGTTCCCTGAACAGGACAGCTCGGTACCAGTACAAAGTTCAAAATGGTGAAAAACAGTGATAGTAGATTTATAGCGGGGGTTCTTAACCAGGGATCCACGGATGGGTTCCAGGGGTTCCGTGAAAATTAGAAAAAAATAAAAATCTTTTGCATAAAAAGGATTGTTGTTGTTTCTTAGCTTGTTTACTTTAAATTTTCATAATACTTTGTGCATCACATATTTGTGAAACAATCAAATCTCAATAAATAAAGTACACCATACACATACAAGCAAAGGTGTGTTAACGTGACTATTTCTGGGGACGGGGGTCCATAGCGATCATCAGATTCTTAAGGGGTCCTTTAAGGTATCTGGAAATCGATGCTACCAAATCTAGTACTTGGACCCAGTCATTAGCCACCCATCGGCTTGGCTACTTCGTTAATCATGATAATTCTATGTCAGCACATATCACATGAACTTTTTTTCCGCATGCTGCTTCTGTTTCACCAAATCTACCAACTGCACCGTGTAGGATTAAGTTTTGTTATAGTTTCATCTAGCTTAGTTCTTCATTCAATTTCATGACATGATTTTAGGAGATAAAAAAGATTTCTGTGCCTTTCTTGTATAACCACAGTTTATAAGACCCTTATCTCTAGCAATTATCTTACAAAGTGTTTTTGTCTATTGTAGGCCTATGTACATCCTAAACCATAGTTAATTCATGCTCAGCTAATTTACACTAAGGCAATTACTTAAGTCCATGGTGTCAGCGTAAGTGGTCTTGTCTTCCGGATTAGGTTCGTCCTGTTCCACGACTCGAAGCAAAAGTGGTTCTCGTGTCAAGCGGCCTGAACATAAGTGAAGTCTTGAGGAAACTCGTGGTAAACAAAGAGCAGAAGGCAATATGCAAATTCAAATCTTAAATGCATTCTTTTGGGAATCCACTTCACACTGCCATTAAAACCATCGCGCAAGCTATTACATATTACTGGATGGTAAAGGTCTGCTGCGATAGTTGAAGCGCCAGTGACCCTCAATGGCGCAGCATCTGGCCGCCTCATCATCATCATCATGGGGGCTGACGCCGACGGGGCGCATAGCCGCATCCACCCTTCGCTTCCACCTACGAGGATCCCTCATGGCTAGACGCCAGGCAGGACTCGGCCCATCTCTAGTTCTTCACGCAGGTTTGGTCGATCTGCCCAAGCCATGACTTCCTCGGTCGTCCCACAGGCCTCCTCCACCCAGGGTTGTCTCGAATAGAGACGACCTGATGGGCAGGATCATCCTGAGGAAAGCGAGCCAGGTGGCCGTATAGCCTGAGTTGGCGATCACGGATTGTGCAGATAACAGGGCTTGTGCCAGTCTCACGGTGCAACCGTTGGTTGGACACATGGTCCCGCCAAAGTACCCCATGATCTGGCGCAAGGACCTATTGCAAAAGGCTTCAAGACGAGCCTCCAAGGCACAGGACAATGTCCAGGTTTCGCTACCGTATAGCAAAACTGGCATTATCAGGGCCTTGAAACCCGAAGCTTGGTCCTTCTGCAACAGGTACCGACATCTCCAAATACTCTTGTTGAGAGAGTTCATGACCCCTGCTGCCAGGCCAATCCGTCTGCTGACTTCATGGTCTGACAGCCCGCATTGAAGTCGCCCAGAACAATGCGAATATCTCGTCGGGGACATCTGTCTGCCACAGATGTAAGTTTGGCGTAGAACATCTCTTTCACGTCAAGTTTACAAAACATCGGTAGGAGCGTACACAGCAATAAAGACATGAAGCCAAAAGAAAGCTTCAATCTCAATACCATTATACGCTCATCAACAGGAGTAACCTCTACTACAGGGCTGGAGTCTGCTGGAGACGGCAATGGCTACTCCCTGGAGATGGTGGCCATCGCTGCGGCCCCGACCAGTAATAGGTGTAGCCACCTACACAGGTCGTGCCGCTGCCAGGCCTCCTCACCTCCGAGAGAGCAGCCACCTCAACTCTCAGCCTCCCCAGTTCCCGTCGACAGTAGAGGCAACCGATCATCCTGACGCAAAGAACGGACGTTCCAAGCCCCCACCCTGACTTCCCGCCTGAGGTTCAGCCTCTGGCAGTCGCTCCGGGTGGATGCCATCTGGCCGCCTCGAACAGTCAATTTCCCACACTGTCCTCTGGAAGCCTTTAAGAAGGTTCAAAGATTGCTTTTAATGGCCCAGGGTTCACACTTCTGTAATTAAGTCTTCGGACATGTATCACACGAATCAAATGTATGATCTGAATATGAGCCAGTCTTCAATCAAGTCGTCATCCAAGCTAGAGTAACGAACCAACCTGAAAAAAAATATTCACCTCGAACCACAAACTAACCTCTCTTCCTGTGGCATTTCAACACGCGAGTAGATCCTGTTCTTGGTGATGAATTTCTGCATTGCGGGATTCGATTCGCTCGCGGACACCTTAACGGCTTGTTAGTTTATCGAAAACAGCTTCACCTCGGTTCCGAAACCATGAATTTCCATTTTCTCTGATTGCAGAGAATTTCCATTTTCTCTGATTGCAGATTTTGCTCTTTTTTCTGATTAGTTTTCGTGTTTATCATATTTTTATTCTTGTAACAATGATTTTTCGATAACAGATTTTAATGTTTTCGTAGTCACTGTGTGTGTGTGTGGGTGCACGTGTATATATCTATCTATCTATATGTATGGAATTTCGCAAACCATTTTCGGCAAAAAACAATACAGGAGACACTAACCTGATATCCAGAATAATAATTGAACTTTCTTTTGGTGAGCAGTTCATCGTGGAATACGAAGGTGTACCAAACTCTCGGGAAATAGAAAGCTGCATACCAATTCGAGCATACCTAAAATGGCAAACATGTTATTAGTAAACAACAATATTACCATAGGAATATTCATGTTTGGTAAATAAACAAAGTCTCTTATGAAATATGGTCATTGTGATGATTCGAGGAAAACAATAAGTAAAAATGAATAAGAGCAAATTAAAATGAAAGTAAATTAGTGTCTATGAGAGAAAGAATTGCTTTATCAAGAGGAAAACCATGGTTAAATTTTAACAAGCTTTGACATAGGATTTTCAATGAACTGGAGGTCGAAGCAACGATTGTGCGCTGTCCCTAATGCACTGATGACAGCGGCCTTTATTACACATAGAAACAAATATTTCCAGTTTGAGGCAGGGCTTATCTCAAAATTGGCAGTTTTAGACATTGGACCTTCTAGCAGTCGCGCCTACGAAAAAAAACAATTAAAAACTAAAAAGTACTGGATAGGATGTTAGTGAAAATCTATATTGGTGATACTGCCAATAAAGCTCAATAAGTGGCAAAAATAATACCTATGGTTATAGTAATAATAGCAACAATACCAGTACCTGTGATAACACCGATAATACTGATAACTTGACAATACCTATATTATAACAATACTGATAATATTCAAAACATTATAACAGTGATGATAATAATCATATTAACAATTTTAAAACATGGCAATATTGAAGATAATAGTGATAAAGAACTAGTGATATTGCAGCAGTGACTGTGATTGTTAAATAATTAATAACATTGCAACTATAGCATTGTTATAATCGTATGATTATTCTATTTACTTTATTACCATCTATTATACTCGCATTACCATAAACATGACCATGAAATTATCAGTTAATATCACATCATCTTATTACCATTGTAGCAATCGAAAAACGTTCCTTCCGACAAACTAAACTAAATCAAATCCAACTCAACATTACCGTTTTCTCATCTTTATCTTTGCTAATCTCGCCAACCCAAACCAACTTTACCAACTATAACGTAGCATGCATAACCCAAACCAATTTTACTTAACCAAGCATAACCCAAACCAGATCAAACCAACTGTACGTAACATAAAATAAGCTAAACAAACCAGACCCCTTTATCTAAACCAAACCTGGCATAACATAATCTAACAAACAAATCCATCATAACTGAACCCAACTCAACCTAAGTAACTTTCTCTTACCTTGCCTTGCCTTGCCTAACTCAACCCAATTCAAACCTAAACTCAAACCTAACTCAAACCGGCCACAACACGGTCTCGAGGCGATTTACCAAGGCTTACCAGGGAGGCATTGTACCGCTCACACAGCGTCAGGTACTGGAACACCTGTTCGAGCAGGAGGTCAGGGAGAAGGTGCCACTCGCTGTACTTGTGTCGGGGTCATCCT